TTTCGACAGTGAACGCGCTGCGATAGCGGTCATGCATACGGCAGAGCAGGCAAATATAAAATGGTTAATAAACCACATTTTTTAGAGCGCAGCTCTTAGGAGCCCGTTTCCGGCTTGAGAGGCGTCGCCGCCGGCATAACCGCGCGGTGCATTATGGGCAAATTTCTCCGCTACATCTAGCGGAAAAAATTTCCCCGCTAAATCTAGCGGAAAAATTTTCCCGCTAGATCTAGCGGAAAAGTTTTCCCGCTAAATCTAGCGGAAAAATTTCCCCGCTAAATCTAGCGGAAAAATTTCCCCACTAAATCTAGCGAAAAACTTTTCCCGCTTAATTTATCGGAAAAATTTCCCCGCTAAATCTAGCGGGAAAATTTCCCAGCTGAATCTAGCGGAACTTTTTCCCCGCTAAATCTAGCGGAAAAATTTTCCCTCTATATCTAGCGGAAAACTTTCTTCGCTATATCTAGCGGGGAAGTTGACCCGCTAAATTGAGTGGAAAAATGTCCCCGCTAAGTCTAGGGGGAAAATTTCACTGCTAAGTCTAGTGGAAAAATTTTCCCCCTAAATGTAGCAGAAAAATTTCCCCGTTAAATTTAGCGGAGAAGTTTCCCCGCTCAATCTAGCGGAAAATTTTCTGTGGGTGGTCACGTGACCTGGGGGTTGCGTGACCCCCCGAGGTAACATGACACCCCAGGTCACGTGACCCCCACGTGACCTTGGGGAGGGAGTCACGTGACCTTGGGGGTCAAGTAACCTCGGGGGGGGGGGGCACGTGACCTAAGGGGGGTCATGTGACCACACACCCAAATCACGTGACCCCCCCCCGAGATCACGTGACCCTCAGTACCCTTCCCTCCTCCTCCTCAAGAGCTGCGCTCTAATTCGGCGTTACAGGGAGTTGTAAACGGCTTTCATTTTATTTCACGACGAAATATTGTGCAAGCAGCATAGCACATGTCGCCATATGTGACACAAATCAAAGTGCATTATATTCGGCTCTCCCTTTATTTTACAACACAAACCTCTAAACGCACTTTCACCAAACCTGAAAATTTTTTGAAGTTACCACGAAACCCAGTAAAACAGCGGCGAGCCGTGCGAGCTGTTTCTTCGTCCGTTAGGCTTAGCGGATTCACCACGGTGAGATGAACGATCTCGTGAAAGCACTGGGAATACTTCACACGTCGACATTTTCCTATTACGGTCAGAAACGAATGTCGTCCTGTCCGTTGTAATTTTCGCACCGTCGAATGCACGAGCACTTTGTAGAACCACATGTCAATCACCGTCATGCTGGACCCCGCACACCATCACAGAAGGGTGCAGCATCAACAAAACTAGGGGATCCCCGTCCAAGTACCACATGACGCCTGCGCCGTTCCGCACTCTGACGGCTACAGTCGACCGACGGCTAGAAACGGAGTGCTAGGGAGCACTCTGAGAGGGAGAGGCGCCCTCGGAATGAACCAGCCGATCAGGCCACAGCACTCTCTTTCCACCACGCGATGTCGCGCTCTGGAAAGAGCGCTCGAAAGCGCACAGAAAGAACCACGCGAGTTCGCCATAAGCCTGACTATGGTCCCACTCACGAATTTTACTCTCTCCTCAAGCCCAGAATCTCAACTTTATGTCAGCAACCATTTTTTTTTCTGTAAAAATCTCCGCTTGAGATAAAATGCGTCCTGCTGGGGTAAGAACATAAAAAAACGAGCGTTGCGAGCGGGAAACGTCGGCGACGTTTTCCGCTCGCAACGTCGCCATCGGGACGTGTGTTAGACGTCGCCGTCAGGACGCTTCGCATAATGTGACGTTTCTCATGATGCGAAACGTCGCAGTCGGCGTCGGCGTAACCGCGCCTTGCATTATGGGACTTTTTTTTATAATGCAACGCGGGAGGAGGAAGATATAAGGAGGAGGATGAGTAGGGAGGAGGAGGGGGGGAGGGCAGAAGGGGAGGAAAGGATGGAAGGACGAGAAGGACAGGATGACTGAAGGAGGAGGAGGAAGGAGAAGGAGATCAGGAGAATGGGAGGAGAAGGGGGGCGGCGGAGGAGAAGGGAACAAGGAGAGGAGGAGAGGAGATGCCCAGCTAGCCGTTGTGCAGGCAAGTGATACCACCAATCATAAATCACATCGAGGCAAGTATGAAAACGTGGTGTACTCGTTATCTGAGTGGCCATTTACATGGGTACGGTTCTGTGCTGAACCCATCGATGTCCGTGGCACATCAGACGAAGTTGCTAAATTGTGTGCCGCCAATGTCGACAACGGCTTGCACGTGGTAGCTCTGCACCTCTCGCCCACAGCACTCACCAAATGTTTTGTACAAGACAAAGAACTTCATACCAGTAATGCAGGAAAACATCCTACTGGTCCCGAGGGACGTGCACTCTCTGTTCTGCTGTGCCATGTCGGAGGAGCACGCTCAAGGCTAATGCTGAGGAAATCAAAAACGCCGAGCAGTCTTTGACAGAGCCTAGAGAATGTAGGATGACATCCAGAGTATCCCGTGCTTCGTCAAAGTGTTGACTCTAAAGCTGTCTCGTTCTCCTGTCTTGCTCCTCGTGTCCTGTGCCCTGGCACCGACAGAACTTAGACAGTGTGGAGCTTCCAGGGCCCGTTTGCTCGAAGCACTAACCGCGGCTAAAGTTAGCCGCAGTGCCTAGGAGAGGGATATTGAGATCACGCGACTGGCTCAGTAGGGATGCGGGGAAACATGGCGGTGTTGCAGTGAGTGAGTGCCGGTCGCTTTGGAACTAATATGTCGTTGTGGTTGCAATATCGGGCGCGTTAGTCAGCAACGAATGGTGCAGGAGGCTTTTGCTTTGCCTTACCTCACTTAAACCGCAAAGCATGGGCAATGACATCGCCGCATTGTTTAGATAGTGTTTCGATTCTGGGCACTCCTAAGCCTAAATGAACGCGATAATTGTTGGCATAGCAACGTCCTTGGAAAGCGGATTGTTGATAGCACACAAAAGCAGACGGCGTCCCAACAGACCTTTTTTCTAAATTATCCAAGCACCGAGGGGCATTCTACGACTGTAGTTGCACGCGTCGCACGTGCTGGCGTCTGCAGTAGAAACCGTTCTAAAGCAAAAAGTATAAAACAAATTTTGCCTTGCACGCGCGTTCGTTAAAGCCTTATAATGATTTTTTACTTAAAATATTTTATAAGAGGAAGGCCAGCGCGCATGAACTGTAGAATTACACTTCCAGCGTTCTCCTCGCGATGCTTGGATAATTTAGAAAAAAATCTGTCGGGACGCTGTCTGCTTTTTTGTGCTATCAACAATCCGCTTTCCAAAGACGTTGCCATGCCGACAATTATCGCGTTCATTTAGGCTTAGTAATGCCCAGAATCGAAAGTCTATCTAAAAAATGCGGCGATGTCATTTCTTATGCTTTGCGTTTTAAATGAGGTAAGGCAAAGCGAAAGCATCCTCCACCATTCGTTGCTGACTAACGCGCCCGATATTGCAGCTACAACGACATATTAGTTCCAAAGCGAGCGGCGCTCACTCACCGGGACACCGCCATGTTTCCCCGCAGCCCTACCGAGCCAGTCACGTGATCTCAAAATCCCTCTCCTAGGTACTGCGGCTAACTTTAACCGCGGTTAGCGCTTCGAGCAAACGGGCCCAGATGTTAAAACTACAGTTCATTTCTCCGGGCAAGCGCTGAGCAAGAATACCACAATTTATATATATATATATATATATATATATATATATATTGTGTTGTATATATATATATATATATATATATATATATATATATATATATATATATATATATATATATATATATATATATATATATATATATATCTTTCTCAGATTGTTTAGCACGGTATATCGCAAAATCGAAATAATTCAAGAGAGGAGGAGGAGGAGGAGCAGGAAAGGAGGAAGCATGGGGAACAGTGGAGGAGGGGCATACCTTCCTCTCGTACCCTCCCCTCCTCCTCCTCAATAGTTACGCTCTAATTCGGGACACCGATGAGTCGCTTGATGATCTTTCGCAGTCTGTGTTAATTCGGGCTGTGCCCGTATTTTTTTATGGTGGCTACAAAGACAATTCTACCTAATCTCGATCACCGTCAAATCCGTCCTTTAGATTACCAGGTAGTGACCGCGGTGTCTCCTTTGGGGACGTCACCGACCGATCATCCAGGCTCTTGATGTCGCCACCGCAAATCTTCGCTCCTCGCTGTGCACAGTGCGCGCGAACCCTCCCGTCCTTTTACCATTTTTAGGGCGCAGCTCTTAGACGCCCGTTTTCAGCTTGAGCGGCGTCGGCGTCGCCGTCGCCGTCGGCGTAACCTTGAGGTCACCTGACCCCCGTGAGGTCACGTGACCCCGGTGACGTCACGTGAACCCCGTAAGGTCACGATGGTTACGTGACCCCGGTGACGGCACGTGACCCCCGTGAGGTCACGTGACCCCGGTGACGTCACGTGAACCCCGTGTGGTCACGATGGTCACGTGACCCCGGTGACGTCACGTGACCCCCGTGAGGCCACGATGGTCGCGTGACCTCGCGGTTACGCCGACGCGACGGCGACACCGACGCCGCTCGGAGGGAGGAGTAGCAGGCAGGATGAGGAGGTGAGGAGGAGGGAGGAGGGTATACGCTCCTCTCCAGTACCCTTCCCTCCTCTTCCTTCTCAAGAGCTGCGCTCTAATTCGGTGTTACAGTAAGTTGTATGCGGCTTTCATTTTTTTTATGGGGAGTAAATGGTTTGTTAACATCTCTGTCTTAGAAGCTAAAGTCACAATACATTAACAAAAATGCGACTGTAACACATTCTTTTTATTGCAAATTACGGCGACGATAAATGGGTAAACAGACAGACTCCTATCTAGGGGTGATTTTAAAATAAAACGTTATTTGGAAATGCGCATTTGGTTTATTCTGCCTTTATATGTTAATTCTTAAGCTGTATAAATTCCCGTTTATTACAGGCTCTGGAAAATACGGATAGAATATCTTGGATGATGTACCGAACACACGCACAAAATACAGATGATGATGTCCGTACCTGCGTCTACGTAGAAATGATGGAGAAAGTAGAGGGTGGTGTATACAAGTTTGAGCAGGGATATACACTTGGAAATGACAGTGAAACACTGTAAGTGTTCTATTTTTAGTTGTTAGATCGAAAGAGCTTCATCCACATTTATAATAACGTGTGTTTTCCTTGCAGAACAATTGAGACGTTGTATGCAAGTACATATAAGACTGCGATAATTACTACGGAGCGTCAGAAAGACAACGCAATGCGTGTGCATAAAGATCCTAGTAAGTAACTGTTCCAACTATGTAACACTGAAACTCTATTTGAAATTGCTACCAATAAAGTTATACCTCCCATAAAAATGACCATTAAAACTTTAGGGTGAAATTTCTTCAAAGGTCAGACAACTATCCGTTAAATGCTACTATATATCGTTCTGCAAACTATACTCTGTTTCATACTTAGCGTGCAACGCTGTCAAAGCTTGTAACGCGATCATGGGGCTTGATCTCGTTGATCATTTGCACGCGTTCTCGCGCAAACAAAACCATAAATGAAGCCACGCCCTCGCGCCAGTAGCTTTGACAGCGTTGCACGCTAAGTATGAAACGGAGTATAGATAAGCGGAAAAGTGAGTAAAGGGTGAACGGCCGCTGAATCCTGCAGCAGTATTTAATTGTTCGGACACCGTCAAGGGCTGAATAAATTAGGGGGCACTGTCTCAATAGCGGCCTTAGTTTATATACATATCACACGAAAACATATGCACCCGAAAAAGGAAACATGTTCAAATAAAAATTTAGGAAACCTTACAGTTAAAACAAAAATATATACTGGTGGTGGAGATTATATGCGGAGAGGAAGTCGTCGACCGTTTGAGTTGTGCTGACATCAAAACGGCGCAGATCTCTGATTGGCTTGGTTTGAAAGTACAGTGGGTAGACCTCAATGCTAGATGCCTTGAGGTCTACCCACGTTTTTTTTTTTTCAATCAGCAAATAAGAGCTCGGTTTTCTGACATCATCGCAACCCATGTACACGAAGCAGACGAACCTGCGTTCCGCATATACTGGAAATCTTGAAGGTGCTGTAAAACAACGAATTTACCAAAGCCAAGCAAGCGCAGTTCTACATTATATGGACTGGCAGAGCCAACCCTAAAGTGCGACAGCATCTTATGAGCAATTCCATTGTTTATAAATACCAATCGAAAAATAATTTGGGTCGGCAGCAGTCGTATTATGTACTGAGTTGACGGAGTCACAGCCCATCAATTTTGAGCTTTTGAAATTTGGTAACAAGTAACGAACAGGTACAAGGGAGCAAAGGTTTTTGATTTACTCCGTGTGTGTGATCTTACGAGGGGGATTGGTATCCATAAAATGTGCTGATTTCGCACCCTTCCCCCCTCTCTCGCAGCCCTTTTGAGTAATTTTCGTAATGTCAAATCACGTGTATGGTTTTACACAATATTCACGAGGTTATCTACACATTTTATGTCTTCGTAGTAACAGAGTAACTATCGCATGGGGAGTCTTAACCTTTTAGAGTCATAAACCGTTCATCTCAGAGCTTCACGGCCCCGGCCTCAGTTGTTGCGGGGGCGTTCGTTTGACATTTCGTTCTTTTTTCTCTATTTATCATCTTTTATGCGGAATTGCGTTCTTGCTGAACCTAACTCAGATTTTTCGGGCACGTCGCGTGCATTCGAGTGGTTCCTTGGAAGGAGTTGGCTATTAAAGGGGTATTCACACGAGGGAGAAATCCCGGGGATTTCTCCCCGGCACGTGCGCATCACGAGATGAAAACGCGAGGCTTTTGCACATCGCAAAGCCTGACGTTTTCGTCGTGGGATGCGCGTGCCGGGGAGAAATCCCCGGGATTTCTCCCTCGTGTGAATACCCCTTTAGCGACGAGATGTTTTGGTGGAGCCTCCTATGGTTTCCTCTCGTGACGTCATTACCTTGCAAAAATCAAGTTAGATGGTGTTTCTAATGAACATGGAAGTTTGAAATCATTGTGCTCTGAAAGCAACACTGCCAACACCGTCAAAATTGATGTTCTTACATTACCCTTATTTCTGTCGCTGAGAAAACCTTTGCTGACGTCATTATCAGTTATCGGCCAATCGTGGAAGGCCGACCACAGCGACGCTTTCGATCGCGCACGTCGCCAATAGGGGCTGACAGAATGAGGAGGACAGGGTGTGTCTTTAAAACACCCGGCCTCCAGCACGCTCACCACACCTTCGGCCTACTTTGGCAGCGCGTGCGCGCTCGAGGTGCACGAGCATAGCCTCCTCCATGCTCACAAAGCCTGACAGTTCGACGACGAAGCCATAGAGTGCCAGGTCGCAGATTTGGAGCGCGAGGATCTGGTAGCACAGAGCGTCAGAGCCATGTCTCGGGGAACCTGGACTCCAGCGCACAGCTTTTGCAGCGGCGAGGACCCGAAACACACTTGTTCGCTCGTGAGAGGTGTGTTTCGGCGTCTCGCCGAACCGGGGCGCTAGTCACGTGGCTCTCCTCTCATCCGTTGTCTGCCACTCCTCCCTTTCGACTTCTTCGGCGGCCGCTTCTCGTGGCCATCTGCCAGGAATTGTGAGTATATAGGAGGTTATAGCATAAGACGCCAGAGCGTTGTCGAAGGTAGGAAGCTGGCGCTAAAGGCCCCTCCCGGCCGTTCTCAGGTCGTCAGTGAGGTCGGAGGACGGCGTTCCGCTTTCTAGTATGTTCGACGATTGCAGTGAAGACAAAGGCTTTGCGTCTGCCCACTATTCATTCTACATGAGCTCGGCGTTCTGGCACCCCCGGGCGCTCTAGTCTCCTCTCTTCTCTGTTTGTTCCCGTGTATGACCATTTCCATAGCCTCCTATGTACTGTCAAAGCCTAGCAGATCGCCACGAGAAGCGGCCACCGGAATGGAAAAGGTGGAGCGGCAGACAACGAATGAGAGGAAGGCCACGTGACTGGCGCCCCCGCTGTCGCGGGACGCCGAAACACACCTTTCAGCAAACATTAAGCAAAAAAAAAAAAAAAAAAAAAAAAAAACCGAATAAAGGCTGTGCGAATAACTGACGAATTTGGCCCAACGGCACGCTCGCTTTGCACGCGAAGTAGCAGCCATGGTGCTGATTCCACGCGCAGAGCAAAAGCCGCCAAGCAAAATTCGTCGGTTTTTCGCAGCATATTCGTCCCATGAAGTTCAGCCCTCAGACCAATATGATACTGCGAGACTTAGCTTGAGTAAAAAGCGGTTCCGAAATGTGCTTCTATTCCGGGATATCGAAACCAATTTAGAAGCATGTTTTGAAATTGCTAAAACAAAGCTCGCCATGCAAATGTTCCGTTGAACTTGTTTTAAAGTATTTGTGACATAAATACCACTTGTTTTTAAATCAGTGGCCCTCTAAGCGTACTTGCCGTTTTCAACCAGGCGTAATAAGCGCACGCTTAATCGCTGAGGAATTACGTCCTTGACTTAAATAATCACGTGGCGGATGAGTCTTAGCTAAGTAAGCATTCGATATTCACCGTCCGTGTTCATTTTCTACTCATACGGCGCGAATAGACCGATCTCAAGAGCCAGTTTGGTTTTGCCACTGGATCCGTAATGCATCGAGAATATTTTAACCTGCAGTGACCTAGAACTAGAGCTACTGAAAAAGCAGAGTCGGTGCCTCATCGGTAGTGTGAAGTCAAGGTTGTTGAAAGCCGCACGTGAACACTGGAGTCAAAATCATGACGAGATCGTGCTATGTCCGGCTGCCCTGTTGAGCAGCTAAAATGGGCGAAAAAAAACAAAAAAACGGCAAATTTTGGCACGTGTTGGTAGCTCGTGGTTGTCCTATGCGACCTAGTCTAATCCTATACTCCGTTTCACCCTATGTTGTACCGCAGCCAAGGCTAGAAGCACGATGTCTCAACGTTGGCAGCTGCCCTTAAGGGGTATTCAGACGAGGGAGAAATCCCGGGGATTTCTCCCCGGCACGCGCGCATCACGAGATGCAAACGCGATGCTTTTGCACATCGCAAAGCCTGGCGTTTTCGTCGTGGGTTGCACGTGCCGGGGAGAAATCCCCGGGATTTCTCCCCCGTGTGAATACCCCTTAATGCACGAGAGCATATGCTGCTGAGATGTGCCCTAGAGCAGGGAGCTCGCGCCCGTGGCCTTTCTTGCGGTACATCATAAGGGGAAATAGAGTATAGGCCAGGCAGTGTTCGGGAAAAGAGCGCTAGCTTCACCTGGTAAGTTCAACACACTGTGTAACTTACGCAGTGTCTGCCGCTTTTTCCACTAAACTCAATATTTCTAGTTCGGTATACTTCAGTCTTTCTGCATGTGCGACAACTTCGCTGGAGCTCTGCGTTTGCAGAGCACGAGTTGGCACGAGCTGACTCTGGAACTGCCGCCTGCCTCCTGTGAAGTAAAGCTAATTATGGCGGCTTCACGCATGCCATGAACGCTTCGTGGGATCAGTATATCAAAAAGCGACTAAAAACTGTAGTCAGTGTGTGAGTACTATAGCGGATGCTTAATAGGGGATAATCCGCTCAACGCCGTGGCCGATATCCATGAGTGAACGCGTTAAGCCCCTCCTCTGGAGCGCGAGAGTTTGGCGCTCCGTTTACATAACGGACAGGAGCACCGCTGGAGACTGCCACTCGAGCGCGTTCTTTATGCACCGAGGTTTTCTTGGAGCGCGAATAGACATTATTGCTAAATTACCCAAGCATCAAGGGGAATGAACGGATCGGTGTTCCACGAGCTACACGCGCACATCTTCCCCGTATAAACGATTTGAAGTAAATAACCAAAGTAAAGCGTTGACGAACGCGCGTGCAAGATGCAATTTGCTTTAGGAATTTCCTTTAGAAAAGTCACTACTGCTGAGGCCAGCACGTGCTGCGCGTGGAACACCAATGTCTGCATTCTCCTTGATGCTTGGGTAATTTAGCAATTGACCCCGTAAGCGATGACGTCACAACTTGGTGTCTGGGTCTAAAAAAAAACGTTGCTAGGGACGTTGCTATGGCCTAATGCATGGAGACTCCACACGAGGCTAGATTTTCGCTTATAAGTAAGTAAATAATTTTTTGCAAGCAACCTAACTTCTTGATATCTAATTATGAAGATGTTCTTGTCATCTCAGCGTCGTATTGCAACGATGAAAGCAATTTCTGAAGTGTTCTACTCCGCTTTGCTTTGGTAGCAGACGACACGATAGATTTGCTGGCCTCTATTGCAGCGGGCGTCTTCATTGAATTGCGTCGGTGAACGAGCA